AGTAGTTAATGTAAGAAAATTATATTTGTAATTCCCACATAAAGATACTTGTAAAGACTTTAGTCATATCATATTCTCACTGTCTCACCAACCTTGGGAAAAGCATTTGTGGTTATGGTTTTTCCCAAAAGAAAAAACATTTGTGGTTATGAAAAAGGGTAACAAATACATTTGTCAGAAATTTGCAATTATATGGTAAGTTGGACTCTAAGCGGTTGTCGAATAGTTTTTTTTTTTTGTTTAATTGGTCGGTTGTCGAATTTTGGTGACACAATATATACTGTCCCCTCGTTATAGTTTTTTTACCGACCCAACCAGCCAATTTATATTGGTTATTTTGATTTGGAAGAAAAGAAAAGAATTTCAAAATTTTGTTGTCAGCAAAAATGGATAAATAATCCCTTAGGCATCAGCATTGGTGAATTTTTTTGGATGTCTTTAAATAAACAAATATTAAAAACACACTCTCTTTTTTTTTTTATTCAACTTTATACTTTTTCTTTCATCCTTTTATTTAATTTTTATTAATTTTATATTTAAACACACTCCAACTAAAAGAAATTCTCTCTCTCTAAAAGTGTCTTCTTATACAACTTAAAGACATCCTCTCTCCAAAAAATACCCAATATCTCCTCTTTTTACTCAAATGTTATTAATTTTATATTTCAACACCCCCATTATTTCAACTAAAAACACTCTATTTATTCCTTTTACTCAAATTTTAATAATTTTATATTTAAAGACACCCAAAAAAGTTTATCTTTACTGATGCTTAGTATTGCTTTTGAAAAAGTTAGTATTATTTTAATATACATTTATGTAAGGTATTAAGCATGATTAAATTAGACCTGGTTTGCTTGGAAAAAGTGCACCCAAGTATTATCTCATTACCTGATTTTGTATCTTTTGGGTGAGAAAATGGAGGCCTCACTTGTGACAAGTTTTTCTTCCTATTAGTATATTTTACATTTCTTAATATTTGTATATAGTATGTTAAATAAAATTAGTTTATATATGATCATCTATAAAGTAAATTAAACCGGATATAGCTAGTCTTAAATCTAGGAAAATTAGTGTCAATTGTTTTAGTTTTTTTTTTTTGTAAAGAATCAATTGTTTTAGTTGAATAGCTTTTCAGTGACATATTCAACGCGGCTAATTTGTTTAGTTGAATAAATCTAGTAAAATCATGGCAAAAATCTCTAATTTTTTTTTATGCTTATAAAATATGAGCCGTCAATAACACAGTAGAAGTATTTAGAATCCTTTAAAGTTGAGTCTTTTTCCTTTAAATAATATCATTACCAGCTAAAAGAATTTATACTATATGACTATATGTATAAATAGGGATGGATGCAGGAGAATATGAGCAAATGGAATTTTAAGATATGAATAGCTTGTTGCTATAAAGTATAATCGTAAATTTACATGTAATGACAGATGTAACAATTAGCTAATAAGAAAGAAAAAAACATAAAACAAAGTGGAACTAATCTAAGTTTTGGCAGTCCTAAGCATAATTTTATATGAGCAAACCACCTACTTTATATAATTTTCGTTGGAATCATATACTAGTTTGTCAAATTAAAACGGATAAATACATTAATAAATTGTGTTCCACAAACATACAGAATCAGCTTAAGTCTCTTTCATACAACAGCTTCAACCAGAAGAGCATTAAAACAAAAAATACTGAAAACTATTTAACAAAACTAAAAAAATCAATGCTGAGAATATCTCCTTAGACTAATTACTCTCATACGAAAAGGACTTGAACTAACTGATAGGCTTTTTTCACTTTTTAGCTCAATATTTAATTCGAAAGTAGTTTATTTTTGGGTGAATTAGCTTAATATTATGCTTGGTGTACATAATTAAGAGAGTACCATAGATGTAATTGAATTTAGGTAAATAAGAGAGAGAGAAAATATTTGGACAAAAATACCTTTATGTAATTAGGATCCTATTTAATTTGGTAAGGAGCGAC